GGGTGGGGGTGGGAGGGCCTCATTGACAGGCCGAATGTGGTGATCTGAATGTTTTCAGGTTATTTCAACAGGTATGACAGTATTCGTAAAATTGATATAATTATGGAAATAGAAACTTGTTTTTAGTACAAACTAGTACGTTGCCCAATACTAACTTCTGCATTTGTTTAATGCATTCAGAATAAGCAYGTTTTGCCAAAATGATGGCTAATGTTGTGGGGCTTTGGGAAAGCCATTCCAGGAGCTTACTGTTATCCTTCTTTAAGCAGTCAAAACCAGTTTCAACGTSTTTGTTGAAAAACACAGATTTTAACCACATAGATGTTGATTTGAAGAGAATTTGAAGAATTTGGTGGATTTAAAAAAAAGCTTTTTGAATTGTCTTGTTACTGAAATTTTCTATACAAATAAACTCACCTTGCCTTAGAATTAGAAAAGTTTGTTTTTATTTTCTACATTAGGGAGAATTATTCTGTGTTTCTGTCTTTACTTGGGTTATTGTGTAATGTTTTACTAAAACTGAGGCATGTATGGAACATCGATTTATGTCTAAGTCTTAAGATGACTCAAGTTACACCCTTAATTAATCATCAAATACTATTTGATTTCCTGTTTGCCTAAATGATTCAAACTCACAAAGAAGGTRAGAGGGTGGCAAGAAGACAAAAGCAACAGGAAGAAGATACAGAGAAAAAAGCTTGATGAACTTCCAGATCAAATGAAAATAATGTGAAACAGATTTGAAACTATTCCAGAGGGAAAATCAGAGTTGTGAACAAGACACAAAACTTCTTAGAAGTAGCTTGTTTTCTTGAACATGTGAGAATATGAGAATTGTTGACATACCACTGCCTTTAATGCCGTAGGGTAATGGCAGCTTTGACTGCGTCTCCTTCCAGAAGAAGTCCTCCATTTTCAGAAAAAGCTGAGTATGTCTGGTAATGCTACATGACAAGTATCAGAGCAGGAATTACAAACATGAGGAACACACTGTGGAGCATTCCAGTTTAAATATGAATTATAGTACAGGAGTGTGTGTGACTTATCAGTTACTGTAAGCAAGAACAAACGAAAAAAAATGAGTAACTTAGGTCACATGAAATCTCTGCCTTGTAGGTGTGTGRGATGGGTTAACTGTTCTTTTTTGCAACCATTAAGTAAGTTAACCAAACTTGCTACAGAGGAGAAAGTAGGTATTTGATACATTGCAGAATTTGCAAGTTTTCTCACATAGAATTGAGGTTTGTAATGTTTATAGTAGGTACTATACAACTGTGAGAACCAGAATCTAAAAAAAGAGATCCTGAAATCACATTGTACAAACTCTAAATAATTCATTTGTATTTTATTACATGAAGTGTTTGAGCCATTAAAAAAAAAAAAAAAACAATATTTGGTACAGAAACCTTTGTCTGCAGTTACAGAGGTCAGACATTTCCTGTAGTTCTTGATTAGGTTTGCACACACTGCAGCAGAGATTTTGGCCCACTCCATACAGATTTTCGCCAGATCTTTTAGATCTCAGGGATGTCGCTGGGCATCAGAGTTTCAACTCCCTCCAAAGATTTTCTTGTTGGGTTCAGGTCTGGAGACTGGCGAGGCCACTGCAGGTCCTTGCTTCTTACGGAGCCACTCCTTACTTGCCTTGGCTGTGTGTTTTTGAGCCAGTGTTATGTTGGAAGACCTAGCCTCGACCAATCAACACTGCTTTTACTAAGTGAAGGAGGTTGTTCACCAAAATCTTGTTATGCATATGGTGCAGTCATCCTGTCCCTTTTGCACAGAAGCACCATGAAAGTATCATGTTTCAACCCCCATGCTTCAAAACTGGGATGGTGCTCTTGGAGTTGTACTCATGCTTGATCTTCCTCCAAACATGGCGAGTGGAGTTTATACCAAAAAGCTCTTTTTTGGTCTCATGTGACCACATGACCTTCTCCTTTGCCTCCTCTGGATCATCCAGAAAGTCATTGGCAAATTTCGAATGGGCCTGGACACGTGGACACAGGACGAGATCTTGCATCAAGGCCCAGACTGAGAAAGATTGACAGTCATCTCGAGTTTTTCCATTTTTTTATTAATTGTTGTTTAAAAGTTAAACGATGTCACTTTCTCACCAGGCTGCTTGCCTATTTTCCTGTAGCCCATCCCAGCCTTGTGCAGGTCTACAATTTTGTCCCTGGAGTATTTAAACAGCTCTTCAATCTTGCCCATGGTGGAGAGGTTGGAATCTGACTGACCGGGTGTGTGTGTGTGTGTGGGGACAGGTGTCTTTTATACAGGTAAGGAGTTCAAAAGTGGTGCAATTAATGCTGGTAAGGAGCGGAGAATATGAGGGCTTCTTAAAGAGAAACTTAGCAGGTCCATAAGAGCCAGAATTCCTGCTGGTTGGTAGGTGACCCAATCCTTATTTCATGATATAAAATGCAAATTTTTTTTTCAAAATAATACAATGTGAWTTTCAGGATTTCTTTTTTAGATTTTGTCTCACAGCTAAAACTGTAATCATGATTWAAAAAAATACAGATCTCTCCATTCCTCATAGATGATAAAACTTGCAAAATTGGCAATGTAACAAATAAATATTTCCCCACTGTACATGAATACTTTGTATGTTCAGCCATTTACATATCACTCACTAGCCCACCTTCTAACCCAATCACTTTTTAGAGGAGAATTTTAGCTAAACAGAGGAAAAAGTAAAACAGTAACTCTAAAGAACTTGGGGAGTGAAAAAAGATGRAAAGGTTGGAATATGTGAACCAAATTATTTTCTGCGCTTGCTATCAGTTTGCTGCTGTTTATGACCTACCATTATTAACACTGAGTCACTTAGATGATTTTTTTTCTTTTTTTTTGCCCTCATTATCAAGAACGTTATCTTCAGTTAAATTAGGTCCAGTTAAAGAAATGTTACCTTATTTTTCAGGTACAGTAGGTACAGCAGCCAAATTGATTAAGATCTGAAAACAACCAGAACTCTTCTGAAGGAATTATCTATCTCAACAGTTCCAGTGAATGGTGAGTGGGGAAGGGCAGAGAAAAAACAGTAAAGGAATGACGTTTGAGGTTGTGAAACAATGATGACTTGTACTTTTCAAGTAACTTTGGCTACGTTCACACTGCAAGAAAATCCAACCCAAATCCGATTTTTTTGACCCATCTGACTCATATCTGATTTTTTTATGACAGTCTGAACGAGACAAATCCGATTTTTTTATGACAGTCTGAACGAGACAAATCCGATTTTTTCAAATCCAACCCAGGCCGTTTCAGTATGTGGTTTTAAATCGGATATATATATCTGATGTTTTCAAAGTGACTGCAGTGTGAACGCTCATGTCACATTCCATCTGACTTTT